TGAAAATTTTATTAGTAGACCTTAAAGGATGTTGATCTAAATTTCAAAACCCTCAACTTTTTATCTAAGACAGTTCTAACCCTTATATCATTAAGTGTCCAGTATGGAAAAACACATCATGACAATAATGTAAAATGTAACTTAAAAAAGTATCAGTTTAATACTTTAAAAATAAGGCACAAACTATGACAAATTCCTGAAGCTGAGTTGTCATTGGAGGTTAATATTAACAATTAACATATTAATAGAGAATATAGTAAGTCATAACGGGTTAAGAAATTTCAAGTATTAAAGTATTATTTAATCGAGATGAACAACCTGGAATCTTTTGAAAACAAAAAATGCGTGCTTTTTTCTCTAGATTATTCTAACTTTGTTAGTATTGCAAGACCCTCTTTGGCCACGTCACTGTTGTTTAACAAGAGCTGCAAGATGAACACTCACCTGTTCTCTTATTACAGCTGTGGGTATACACCCAATTATTTCTCAAAAAACTGCCATTGTGGAAGGCATAGGAATTGCCATGCTTATGGATGCTTTAAAAAGTAATGTGATGATCTATCTTTTTATAAAACAGATTAAAGCCTATTAACTATTACTACTAAGAATCAATTGGATTTCTAATAATTTCTTGGTAAGATATTAGTAGGAAATGAGAACTACCATTAATGAAATACAGTAAAAATATATTAACAGGAATTTTTTAAAACTAATGCAAATTTCCCCAAAATAATATGCAATCAAAATGTTAGTAGCACTTTCCATAAAACTTTGTACAGGTACACAAGAATATCCTGACAAACATTATTAATGGGTTCCATCAAAATAAATGGGTATGTGAAATATTACAGGGTAGCAGCAAGCTTAGACTGTCACTGACCATTCTACCTGTGTCACAGGGACTAGCTAAAAATGATACATTGGAATTTTACAATATTAGGAAGGGATATGGTTATGGCTATTTTAAAGTTATGGTATCATTGCCAAAGTGATGTTAGTCAGGGAACATCATCTGGAGTTTGACTATACTTTGGCTTTATATAAAGAATATGTAATTGAATACGTATGAGCTTTATTTCTATACAAATTGAATGTCTTAAATGTACACAGGGGAATTTGCTATTTAAAGAAGCTCAGTGATAAAGATTTCTTTAAAGCAAAGGTATTTTCTGTAACACTAATAACCATCTGTAAATATATCTATTTTCTAAATTAGTTTTTACGTGTTATACTTTAGAATTTTCAAAGATCTATCATTTTTTCACAATTTCTTTCAACCAATGCAGATTTATAGTCCTTTTACCACATAGATGGTCTTCATAACGCGATAGTTAAAGAAACTCAACACCTAGAGGTCAACCAAAAACCTTTCTGAACTTAATTAGCTGATCTCTGGACTGAAGATGTACAATCCATCACCAGATCCTTACTCAAAGTCTTTTATGCTTGGTAGAACCGGCTAGAGCTTATGTTCTGCTGGGATAATGACTGAGAACCCAGCATCATTTCGACACAATGAAGCAACAGAGTAGAACTTTACAAATTAAGTACTCTTAAAGTGGTAAAAGCTTTTGTTAAGGTAACCAAGTGACCTGCTTAAAATGCTAACATTTCTGGGGGGGGGAGGAAATAAACACAAATGAAGTCTACTGATGACACAAACCACATTAAGCATCAGGTTAATTCCAAACCCACAAGGCTAAAAATTTTACATAACTGGAAAGATTAAGTATTTTCAAATGATTTTGCAATAATATTTCTAAGCTTGCTTCTCAGTAACTGTTAGTAGCCTTTTCAACTGCCTGATATCACTGTTACTGAATGTGTCACTTACTCTATGATCGTTAATGTGAAAATGTTAATTTTGTATCCATGTATGCATGCGCAAGCACACGTGTGCTTGTGTGCGCACACACACAAATACATACCTCTTCTAGCTCTCCTGAAGAAACAGGGTTATCTTCATATGCAGGGAATTGACAACCTGCTTTGCAACTGCAAAAGTTATTTATTTCTTCTTCACAAGGTGCCAATATTTTGCAATTCACTTCCGAGTTTTCTATATGCTCTGTTTCTAAAGATTCTTTCATGCTACACTCCAAACACTGATCTTGCTTTCCTATTGGCAAAATCCCAGATGATTCTTCCTGGGAATCCAGTGATGTCTGAGCACTTTTCTCCATTCCAGATTTTTTCAATCTGGGAAGGAATTTTCCGGACTCAAGCTCTGACTTTCCGTAGTAATGCCCTTCTTTCTCTGCATCTTCTTCCAGGGGTTTGAGATCTGCTTGTGGATCTTCAAACACATCAACTTGAGAAGGGAGAGGATTTGCTTCATCTTTTTCAGATTCAAATTCTGACTCACTTCCTCCTCCTGGAGACAGTTCAGATGCAGAAATTGGGCGAAAGTGAGTCCTTGGAGAAATTCTTATAGCCCTATATTGTGTTCTGTCAACACCACATATCCTGGGATGAAAAACTTCACTGTCTGAATCAGAGCAGAGGATTGATTTAGGTTTAAAACTAGGGCTGAAAGATGCAATCCCTTCTGGTTCAAAAGAACATTCTACATGAAGAACTTGTGAAAATGGATTGTTTAGGTCAAAGGAAGAGAATGAATATTCGAGTCCAGGATCTTCGACTTGAAAGTTACCACAAGCTCCTAGTAAGTCTTCATGGAAGATAAAAGAAAACCCTTTATTTAATCCACTTTCCCCACTCTTAGACTGATCATTCTGTTCAAATGATACAAATGGTCTCCATAACTGCCTGTGACCTGGTGCAAAGCTGTTTCCTGGGGTCATAAAGACATCTGTACCAGCTATTGTCACTACATCAGAAGCTGCACACTGCAGTAAGCTTCCTTTTGTGTGACTAGGTGGTACTACTGCCCATTCCCCATCACTATTAAATGTTTTGAGTTCTCCATAAACTCCACCAAGAATAAACGCATTTTCTTTATCCTCATTTACATCCCAAGGTTTGGAGGGTGTAGTATAATCACCACCATCTACCTTAGATAGCTCACTTGGAACAAATGCTCTTTTCTCCAAGTTCTCTTTCTGTCCCTCCCATAGATGGTACTCTGATCTCTGCACTGCCTTATTAGGCTCATGGAGGGTTTCCATTTTAGCTTCAGTATCCAAACAGCAGCAGTAGTTATTTACATCTGTTGAAAACAACTCATCATCTATTCTTTCTATTTCTACCATTGCTACAGAACTTCTGTCTGTCATATTTGTCCAAATGTCTTTAATAACCCCTGAGCTGTAGCCATCTCCCGGTGGACTGCTCTCACTACAAACTTGTGCAGCTTCATAGTCTTTACTTTCTGTTTTTTGTTCTAGCTGAATACCACAGACAGATTCTAGTTTAGACTTTTTTTTGAAAACCAAATTAGGCATCTCTCCTAAAGTTCTATCATTTTGCTGGCAAGTTTCTTCTTGCAAAAAATCTAGAAGTTCTTCATCTACATAATTTGAGGAGACTCTGGGAACTACATAATTAATATCTTCTGCATTAAACTGCGTGGATTCTTCAAACTGAATATTTAAAGTCTCATTGTCTGAACGTGTTTCTTCTGAGTGTGACCATGGACTACAAGTTCTTGTTGAAAGATTGGAACAGTGTTCATTTTCATCAAAGGCACTATTTTTGGTCCATATTAGCAACCTAGACTGTGTTTTTCCAAGCATATTAGCACTACTACTAGAATCTGTATTTTCATTTCCCAAGTTGAGTGTTTCAAAAGAAAATGGTAAAACAGAATTACTGCATTGCACTTCAAACACTGAAAAACAAGAGTTTATACCAGACCCTTCATTAATATCTGAAAAGAGCTCTTGATTGCCAGCAAGCATGTGTGAACTAAGCATTGTGCTGTCTAAGATAGGTGAGAGTCTAATAGGAGAATCACCTCCAAAACTTTCCCCATCTGCATCACCAGAGCTTGAAGATGAACAGCACTCCAAAAATTGAGCTAAATTACTAAGGTCTTGCAAGATTAACCCCTCAGCACCAACAGAGCTGGTAGAATCTGTCCATATTGCACTTTCCCCTTGCAACTCCATTCCATCTAACACTATGCAACATTCTGCCTCAAAATCAGTTTTCTCTTTACTCTTTTGTCGAATCATATTCAAAATCCGACTTTCTCCTTGCATCGTATCTGAGGCACCAGGATCCAACATGGATTGATCAATATCCACTTCATAGAAGTGTGTTAGTTCTGACAGATGAACATCATCTAAATACTTATTGTCCTCTTGTTGAGAACATAATGAGGTCCCAGTGAGGTCAATATCCTCATTTATAACTGCAGGCATTTCTACAAAGTGACCATCAATGAAAGTACCTGCTGCGAGGTATGTTTTATGAATATTATTGTTGCTAATACAAAGACCATGCACTGATTCTGACAATGCTTCTACTGCTTCTGATGTTAGATCACATGTATCTTGCCTGTTTCGGTATGTAGTCTCAAGTTTACTTTTTCTGCTCACGGGAACAAAATATTCTGCAATTGGTTCTGTATACCATAATGGCTCCTCTTTATATTCTTTTTCATTTCTGCTCTCCAAGTACAGATCTTTTCCTTCAGTGCTGCCGGGATCGCTTCTTCCAATTTCTTTCAAATGTCTTTTGCCCCTTTTGCACAGCTGTTTGATGGATCCACTGCTACTGCTGCTGCTACTTCCAGCATGAAACTTTCTTTCAGCCCTTTCACTGGTCTTCACAGAAATCCTGCTTTGACCATTTCGCCCTTTTCTGTTTCGAATCTCTCGTGTTCTATGCCTTACTTTAACACATTTCATTGATGCTTTTAATTCTCCCTGATTACCACTTGAACTTGAGCCTGCTTCACTAGAACCTGAAGACCAGGATCGAGGGCGAATTTTTCCTTCAGGTTTGTGTCGGGTTTGCTTTTTGTAAAAAGCAGGTTTCTCTTCAATTGTGCCATTATTAAACTTGTTCTCTTTCTCATTTTTACTTTTTTTCAGCTGGATTCGCTCATGTACAGTGCCGGACACTTCACTACTTCTCTCTTTAATGACTTCACTTTCACTATTGCAATCCTTGGGAGAGGACGTGTCGGTGGTAGCTGGTGGAGCTGTGGATGATGAGGATGAGCTAGAGTAAGAGCAAACTTTAGATTTATTCCATACGGTCATGATTTCTTGCAGGCAAACTGGTTTCTCAGACAGTGGTGGAAATGCTTCGTAGTACCTAAAAGTAAAGAAACTTTCAAAAATTAGTATTTAAAAATATAAGCATGATTAATTCTCCCTTATCTGGAATGACATCAGAACACTGGGTATTCCAGTAAAAGGGATGACCTATATGCCACTTACAAATAACCAATTTAATGAATTAGAATACAATGAAATATAGTTAAGGCTAAATCACCTAAGTCCTTCTGTTTCCAGTCTTTCCCTAGGTGAAGAGTACAAAAGAAAAGCTAAGATAAAGTCTCTGTCCTCAAGGTGCTGCTTAAAGTTAGACTGAGTTGTTAAGACTAACACCCAGGAAGTAACGGTGAACAATACAATACAGACTGTCATCAAATATTCTAGAGGAGACAGATATCACCGAGGGCTAGACTAAACAGGGAAAGTCCTCATGGAGGAGGTGGGACTTGAGCTAGTTCTTAACAAAGGTAGAATTTGGAATAATAAAGGGGGAAGACGTGCCAGACAAGAGAAACATAAACAAAGTTATTGAGACAGCTATAGTGTAGTGGAAAGAATCCTGGATTGGATTCAGTGGACCTGGCTTTGAGTATCAGCTACAATGTGACCTTAAGTATGTCACAAACTCTTTTGGTCTCAAGTTTCCTCATCTGGTAAAATGAGGGGGTTGAACTAAATAGCTTTCTAGCTCTAAATCTTATGATCTTACAAAAAGTATGTCACATTCATGAAACTCTGAGGAAACCAGGCTGGCTATAATACAGTTCTTATGGGGAGGGAAGTACAGTAGGAAACAACAGAATAGAATTCCCTTACTGAGAGCCTTGAAAGCAAAACAGAACAATTTTCTTTTTCTATAGTAAGAAACTGGCAACCAACAAAGGTTTCTAATTAGGACAACAAAGTAAAAAAAGCAATGTCTGAGTAATATTCATCTAGCAGGGGTATACAGGACAGATAGGTAAGGGACAAATCCAGAGTTAGGGAGGCTACTTTAGTAATTCAAGCTCGAGGTGATGAGGTATAAGGTAGTCCACTAAAACATTACTGACAATTAAAGATCATTTTAACACAATGCTTTAAAGTTTACAAAACATTCCTTTCATCATGTAGATGGGGAAACTGAGGCTCAGAAGGGGAAATGACTTATTCATAATCATACAACTATAAGATCCAATTGAACCCAGGTTTTTTTTTTAAAACTTCAAGTTTAGTGTTCTTTCCACTATATCAATTCTAAATGTAATTTCTTTTTTACTTTTTCTGAAGGTATTACATACAATACCATAGGGTCACCACTCAGCAACTGTATTTCATTTATCTCTGGCTTCCCCACAGGATCCAACACAATATTTTGTACACAGGAGATACTTGAACATTGGTTGAATGAGTGAATTAATTTTATTGTAGGGATGGAAGGTTGGACAATAGTTTACTGTATTTTGAAAAGCATAAAACAAAACAACTGCACACAGTAACAAGTTACAAGTAATTTTAGAAACGTTTTTGATTTTCATCATGTATAATCTTGAAAATACTAATATTTGGTAACGAAGCAGCTGGCTGTAAGGCTGTACTCAAATGGAATTCATCACTGACTCATTGTCAAGTTGGGGGAACACAGTCGATATTTTATAAAGACTAGGCCTAGAATTTAGAAATGAACAGAATTATTAAAATGAGTTATTCTTTTCTTTTCACAATTACAAATATGAGCTTTTACAAGATCTTTAATGAAGATCTAAGCTTCTCCTGATCTTCAAACATGTACTTTGTATGTAAGCTTTTCACTGTCACAACAGGATGAAATCATCTGGCCAACAAGTGCACTTGAGAGTAGGTTAATGTGAATGGACTTCTAAATGCTGTGGTTTTATTAGAAAACTCATTCAACATAGTACTTACTTTAATCATGTACTGTACATTCACTGAGTCTTACGACATAATCTAATGAATACAACTACAGTGATGATCAGGAGATCTGGTTCTGTGTCAAATTCTGCTAAAGACTTACCATATCACCTTGGGCAATTTGGTCGAACTCTCAAATTCTCTATTTGCAAATATGGAATGATATTTCCCCTTTTCCTAGCTTCTATCTCTATTCAGGACAAAGTAACTGTCTGAAGTATTTTAATTCTTTTGGATGAAAAGGAAATTCAATGCTGAAATATGCATAAAATATTTTGTTCTACTTTTTAAAAAATATGAAAGCCTGTTTCCCCACAATTAAATATAACTTATTGTAACAACAGGCTGAAAAGTAGAGGCTTCCTATCAGAAACTTGACCTTAATACTTAAGACATAACATAGAAAACATGAAAAGAAATGCATATGTAAACAGGACCTCCAGGGAAGGTGAAAACTAAAAGCCAAACTTTTTCTTCTCTATTAATCTGTTTTAACCAACTTAAATTCACATTTTAAAAACAAAATAAAATCCCACATACATTTCCACTTGATCCTTTGCTGTGGGAGATATTTCTGCCTCTGGAGAAGGAGATCCCTCTAATTTTTTATTAATCTTCTCTTCTGTTACAAAACAAAAATTAAAAAATGTTTTTATTTCACTTTTTAAATATTTATTTGCTTATATTTCAAAAACTCTCAATTAGAAGTTATATAAATGATTACTTATCTAGAACATGGCTATAAGATTTTCTCTATTTAAAAGGCAACAATAAAAAAATACTTGTCATGTTTGTCAAAGGCTATCTTCTTGTGACAAAGCTGTCACTAATTAAAGGTTAGAAATTTTCAGAAGTTGTGTCTGTTATTAATTATATACATATACTTGTATACTTAGATAATATGAAGTCCTTTGAGTTTTCCTAATATAAAATTTACTTAGAGGCATAAGACATAGACATCTATTTCAAATCTTGGAAGTATTATGTCACCATTTTGAGATCCTGAAGATGCATGGATTTTACATGGCCAGATATCGGCTAAAATTAACCAATTAAAATGTTTAAAGAAATGTCTTAATATGACAGGTTAATAGATACTTAGTGTCTAGGACAATACATTTTATCATGTTAAGTAGCAAAAGGGACTTCTCAGCATAACTCCAGTTGTGTCCTCTGAAAAACTGCCAAATATTACTACTGTTTTAAGCATGAGGCAAGAACATACTTAGGCAGGTAGCAAGGATGGGAAGCCAGCAACAAGAAGAATAGCAATACAACAAAGGGCACCTTAGCTTTGTGAGGAACCTGCTCCTCCTAATACTTGCAAAAGAAGTCATGACCTGGTGTCATAAGTGATGTGTGCATATGCATGTACACACATATGTATATATGTCCCCTGCACTGTGGGGACACATGACATAGACACATATATCTATCATTTCCTGATAATTTAATTGATCAGATTCCAAATCACTTCTAAAATGGAAACAATCAAATTAGCTTCAAAACTAAACTAGCAGTTAGTTTATCTTAGTTAAGAAAAGGAGGGTACTTGAAACCTCTTGCAGCTCCAGGTCATCATGCAAACAAAATTAAATGGCTGCCAACAATGAGGCTTTCCTATATCAGCGTGAAGAAGATAAAGGATCTCATTTCATTATCACTACTGTTGAAAACATAGATAGCATGGGACTGCATTACTGATTCACTGACAGCTACCTATCAAAAAGAATTTGTCTATGCTTGCCTTGATCAGTAATAACAAATTTAAGTTCTTAGATCTATGATCCCACTATATGTTAGAACCATTCACTGCAAATATAAATTCCTCACCTTGCTTACTCTGAAGGTCTTTCAGTCTGGAGCAGAGCTCCTCCACTAAAGTTTCAATCCCAGAGCTCTGTATAAGAACAGAAATAGACAAGTTATGAAAAATTATAAAGTTTGGAAAATTTGTTTTGATATTGATACATAATTCTCACAAGTTTCACAAATAAATAAATATGTAGTTAGCAATATGTTATCCTCCTAGTGTGTCTAGACCATTTAAATTTGCTTGGCCTCTCGTTGGCAAAACCTGCCAGCCCAAGAAACATGACATTCCCCTTGCTGGGGACCCCTTCCTGGGAGCAGGGAGGTGGTGATCTGGTCAGATGCCGAGCTTGACAAGGACATGTGGAGGTCTGGAAAGAAGCTCGGCAGGGATATAAGACAGTCACGAAAGGCAGTATCCTGAAGGGTCTGCTACAAATTACTTGCTAAAAAATACAACTAAATTATAAACTAGGAAAGCATAAGACTTGGAACCTGGTATTCAGAGAGCATTTTATCATGTCATAATGATATATTCAAATGGAATAGAATGTACTAGAAAAGTGTGGCCCCAACATAGCAACATTTGTTCAAAGTAAATAACAATAATACCACAATCAAACAGAGAAAGTCCAATGTATTTATAATAGATCATATATATTTTCTTCATTATAACCTTATTCTATGATGGTAAATAGGAGCAGAAAGAAATGTAACAGTTGGATTCAGAAGACTGTATTCAAATTCTGTCTCCTTTTCTAACAACATGACCTCAGGCAACTCATTTCCTCTCTCCGAGCCTCAGTTTTCTAATCAGTAAAATGAGGACAATATTGGCATTACCTATCTCACAAAGTTAAGAGAATCATATGAACTAAAAAAAATCTTCTGGAGGCAGCCTGATAATGGAAAGTGCAGGTAAATCAAGAACACTTTACTTCAAATCCTCCTGTGATCCAAGCAATGTGACCACGGGGGAAAGTCACTTACCCCCTAAGGCCTAGTTTCACTGTCTGTAAATTGGGAAAACTTCATCTACCCAAAGGTGTTCTAAAGATTAAATAACATAATGTATATAAAGTGTTCTGAAAAGCTTAAAGCAATGTATAAATGTCAGTTATTATTATTAAAGAACATGATCTCATTCACCGGGCAAAGTAAGGCATTAAATAAATAAAATATGGAGAAAATTATATGTCCATAAAAAGCATACACCATACCTA